AGTCCATCAGGCTTAAGACGTCAGTTTTACAGTTGTTGACATTTCACAAATCTGCTCTAAAACCATGTATTGTATATATGTGTAATATCCCTGAACGGCGAAAACATTCCGAAAAGTAAACAAATAGGCCAATCGATAGAGCCAGACACTCCGTTGCTTCATGTTTCTTAATGAAAATCCAATGAACAATCCACAACTTTCATAAATCATAAAATATACCCTGTCGTGGTTCTCGTGCTTAATAACCTAGAAAAAACTTAGAAGGTTTCAATAATTACATCAATTAAAGTATGAATGCGAGCGAAGCGGTGGAAGATCACAGATACTAGCATACTATTTACTATACAGAATGTTAACAAAGTACAGGACCAAACTTTAAGGAGTGATTACTCCAGTGAATAAGGCAAATTCATATAAACATAGATTCGGTAATATTTCATATTCAAACTGTTTCAGTGTCGCTCTGTCTGTCCGAGAATCCCCTGCCCGTCTATACCTAGGAAAGTACCGCCCGGATTTGAATGACATATTCACACAAATTTACTACTTTGGCAAGGACGAAAAAACTGTGTAAAAATGAAAATTGTGTGAAAAATAAAAGTCGCTCAAAATTCGTTTTTTTTTTGACGTTTCAGATGATCCTGGTCATTTTTCAGAAAAAAAATTGCAGACGTTAAAGCTGAGGGGGTTGGGGCAAGGGTATATGTCAATTTATACGTTTCCAGCCCCGGTAATTTTACGACCTGTTAGACATATTCCATAGATGATATGTTTCCCCGTATATTTTCCTTAAAACCTGAATAATAGGGATATATTTTCGATATATGCGTGCCGATCAACTCGACGAGCGTGTACCTATCTGCTTCGACTGCTAAGGGATAAGTGAGCGATGATGCGTGTTTCGACTGTTTCGTGTATTCGTGTCTGCAACGCCCTACTGGACACAAAACATGTACACTGAAGGTTTAATTCCATGATATTCACACACGGTAATCAAATCCAAGCGAATAACCAAAATTTCTGTGTTATGTGCCGCGGTTATAATATGGTTCAAGATGACACACGGGTTGATGACGTCAGTTACACGAATCGCTTGAACGCGTTGGTTTTAACCGCGGTTTTTTTGCAAGTTGTTTATTTTAGAAAAGCGCGTATATAATCTCTGATTATTTTTATTATCACTTAATAATCGGTGCTTTTTCGTCTACAACTGTATATGGAAAGTTTAAATAAGAAACCTTTCATAATATGCATGGGAGAAATGTTTTTTTCAGATTTTTTTTAATGATGGAACCATGGCTTTGTAGCTATGATAACTTTCAATTCTCTAATTTTTCCGCATGTCAAAGAAAACATTTATTGATTCAGCAGAAATGATGAAAAAAGAAATTAGCAAAACCGTATACAGGTGGATATCATCTAGTGAGTTTATATGGCCATATTTTAATATTCTTGTGGTATATGGCTATACAGGATACTTTGTTAAGCATAGGAACTACATTTAAAGTGTCCCCAACAACCGTAATGAGTATAACTAATAAGGTGCTCCACTTTATGGTAAAACTGAAGTCAGCCTGTATCATTTTTCTCAAAAATGAAGCTGAAGTACAATAACAATATCCAATACCCGGCAAAATTCTAACTTGTCACATTTCAAATAATAACCAGAAATATAAAACTACTCTTGAGTATGGTAAATACCACAATTTTGCGGTGATAACTATGACATATAACAGCTGATTCGTGACGTCACGGATCTTATAACCAAACTGATAACTACACTCGCTTGAACGGATTGGTAAATACCAACCCAAAATGGTAAATACCATTTCCATTTGGTTATCCGCTTGAATTTGATTGGAGACTTGTATGGTTGTCAGCTGCCATTTATTGAGGGTGCAACATGGTTGCCAGATTGTGCATTAATATCCCGCAACGTTGCCAGCTCTACATATAAACCTGAGATTGCTATACTTTTATATATAGAAATTTGGTGGGATATGGGAGATCTTATAACAGCATGTGTTATTAACATTTTGCGCTATCTTGACGAATAAATGATTTTTTTGTATGTTAAAATAGCAACGTCGATAACACAAGCTGTTATAAGATCACTCCTATCTTCTTACTAATCTGGAAAGGTTCAGAAGAAAAACATATACTGCAAATACCTAAATATATATTTGCTATATAAATCTCATACATTTTTCTACAAACAAATCAGTATTAACATCATTATGGTCCAGATTGTTTGCATTCCCCAGCCTTTGATGGCACCTGCATAAATCAAAAATTAGAAAAAAATTGAATTGTGTTGATATGTTACTACAATTCACAGATTTCTTTTTTTATTAGAACAATAATATGATTGTCCATGGGTACCCACAGGAACTTTTCTTGGATGTGCTGATCATCATCAAGAGATAACTGTTACCATAGCCCCCCTGAGGGCACCCATGTTATTGTTCAATAACAGTACTTGGCTTTGATTTCATTAAAATTATAATAAACTTTACATATCAACCCTACTGCTCTGACAATAGCTGATTTAAAACGAAGTATGAAAACTAACTTGGACAAAAAGCAGTACAAAGCATCACTAGTTATTGAGACATATAAAAACTTGCAAATGTTATGTTCTGCAAATATCCTTCAGAGCTGAGCCTTCTGGTTAGATCAGAAGTAATCTCTGAGCTTCTGATAATTCTCAGGACCTCAGGGGTTGACAACGGAGCTGTTGAACTTTTGGTGGCGCTCCACTGTTCAAAGAGTTATGTGGAGATACAAACAGGTACGATCTTCAAATATTACATTCCTAAAATGAGTAACCGCTGCATCTCTGATCTTCCTCAGGATCTGCCAGAAGCCTGGCTAATGCTTGGATCACCTTAAAAGAGAAACAGTTTTGATGTGGAGTTTGTCTTATAGTATTTACAAACATAGGTATTACAGCTTTGTGTACTTACATTGTTATACTTCACAACTACGAACAAAATGCATATGGCTCAAATAACATAATAGGGACTTTATTTAATTAAAATAAAATGTTTGTTAAGACAATGACATGATGAAAGAGTAAGGTTATTTTTGCAAAGCACAGAGCACAGGAAGAAACCCGCCGGAAATTTAAATCTGGCCAATCAGACAACGTCAGTTATGAATAAGTTGCCATTTTTTGAGGGTGCGACATGGTTGTCATATAATGCACCAGCAACACTGCTTTGTTTCCCATTCGCCAATACGAGTTTCACGCCCCTGCTACTGGACTTGCGAGTGCTGCGACAGGCAGAGCTGCTACAGTGTTGGGTGGTCGGTGCTGTCAGTAGGACGGTAGGCTAGGTCGCAATGTTGTCAACTCTGTGGGGACTGTGGCCTGCTTGACTGGCAATCCTTTAATTCATTTGTTATACATATGTTATGTTCTAAGAGGGACTAACTTGTGCTGAATACAACTCTATGAATTGATGACAGCGTTGCGTAGGAAGTGCAGAGTCAAGCTTCTTTAACTCGTTTCATTTTCATATAAATCGTACCAACTCTTTAACAATTTTTTTATTGTGAAATTTAGCAGGTGCAGGCATATCGCCAAGTATTTAACCAAAATCGCTCAAAAAAAGTTACATTAAATTAGCAAATCGACATGGCCATTTGGATAGCCAGATTTCAATCAATTATATTTTCTCCTTTGGAGGGTGTGGGTTTTATTGGTCGTATTTTCTAAGAATCAATCTAAATTTTAAACGTGTCTGTGTATGCGAATTTTAAACAAATTTCAACAAACCCGCTGGAAAAATTATTGAGATTTTTATGAGAAATCATTCTTCCAAACAAAGCATTATCGGTTCTATCCTCATAAACGTTTCGACTTAGGGAATCACCCCTTGTAGTTTTAGCATTTCACGTCCTACGCCACTGGCGAGGAAGCATTGTAGTCACAAAAAATTTCAAAAATTTGATATTATTTTTTGGATGTACATCATGAAAAATCATATCACACATTTTTGTCGGTCTGTCTGTCTGTGCGCTAGTCCTTGACCTGGCTAAAGCTCGGAAAGCACCGGTAGGATTTTGATGAAATTTTCACATAAGGTTACTGCTATGCCAAGGACGAAAAAGCTTTATAGTTTCTGAAAATCGATCCATCGGCGACGGACCTACGGGCAAAAAATGTAGAAAAATAAAAATCGTTCAAACTTTAAATTTCTTCAAGTTGATATACGCTTCAAGCTGTCGTAATTCTACGCACCTATTAGACATATTTCACTCATCATAGATTTCGCTGTACATTTATCTTTAGACTTAGAATGAGAAACATTTCCGACCCTCGTGTGTCGATAATATCTGATCGACGGTTCAGCCAGTGTTGCCGAACCGAAAAAGACGAAATCGGTAGATAGTGTCATTAGAACTCGGTAGATTCAAGGGTAAAATCGATAGGAGGGAAAAATCAGAGTGGTTCAAGTATTTACGTCAAGCACCGCTGTCAATAAAAAAAACATATTTTTACAAAGCGCGCGCACCCACTACCACACAACACAGGTTTTTTGAGAGCATCTTTTCCTGAAAAAAAATCTAACTCATTAAAACTTTTTTAATCAGCATATTGGTTGCTCTTGAAATTGCTTTGGAACCATCCTAGAAACTCCAATTCTATTCTTTATACGAGGAGTTCCTAGCCAGGGGGGCGCGTCTTCCAAGGGGGGCATAGAGAGATGTCAAGGGGGGCGGAAAGCTTTTGCATTTTTAAAAGAAAAAACAAAAAAATAAACAAACAAAATTTACAAATAACATTACAATGTAATGTTTGATTTACACGCATAAAATTAGAAATGACAGATCTATTCACTTATTCTGTCAACCGCTGTTTCAAAACCCGGCGTCGTCAATCGCGGTTTATACAAGTTGCGACAAGTCACAACATGAAATCCGCGCGCACCTCCACCGCGCTCCGCTTAACACTCATCACTTAGAAAACAATTGTGTACCTACCAGGCGCGGATGAGCATCTGTGACATTCATTCCCTCAAACTTGCGAAAAATTTGACGTTTCAATGTACATGTTTTGTTGAGAAATCTGTTTGAGTGTGTCAAATTATTGTGTCTCACTGTTAAAAGGTAAGTTTGTGTATTTACAAACTTCATTTACCATTTTTATTTAACTTACTAAATTGTTGATTGAGTGGAGACGCGTTCATAGATCGGCCATTGTGACCTTTTTACCACATCATAATCAAACCAACGTGGCGAAATCATTTTGAAGCGACGAATTTAAGTACCTAATATTTATTCCAAATGTATTTAAAATTACTATTATAACGTCAACCTGCCTACAAAAATATAAATCTCCCGGTGGCCAATACACTGTTGAATACAGTACGTTATTAAGATAAAATAATGAACATATAATTAGTAATTACATGTAGGTATTTTGCTTATTTATTTATTACTTATTTGCTTTATTGTTATAGGTGCAAAATGGCAGCGAAAGAAAGTTTTCCGAAGATGACGTTAAATTTGGATTTACCTTCATAGAAAAAGTTACAATTGCCTCAGTGTGTGGTATGTATGAAAGTTTTAAGTAATGATAGCATCAGGCCCAATCGCCTTGAAAGGCATTTGAAGCAACAACATCCTACTCTGGTTTTGAAAACGAAAAAGTTTTTTTATTCTAAAGTAGAATTACTCAAGCGGATGAGACTGGATAAATCGGGAAGTCATCACACAGGTGTATCCCAGCATCTCAAAGCTTCATTTGAAATAGCTTTTATGATAGTAAAGCAAAAAAAACCTCATACTATCGGTGAAGAATTAATAAAACCATGTGTCCTAAAAGCCACGCAGATAATTTTAGGAGAAGATGCAGAGCAAAAAATGATGTCTAGTTCTCGTTCGAATAACACAGTCAAGCGTATAATTAACAAGGTAAAATTATCGCCATTTTTTGCCATTAGTTGCGATGAATCCACCGACATCGTTAATTGTGCACAGTTAATAGTTTATGTTCGTTACATCAGCGGAGATATCATTCAAAAGGAGATTTTCTACTCCCAATCTTTGACAGCAGGTACTACATCTGAAGATATATTTAATTCAATATCAAGTTTTGATGAAAAAAAATGATTTGGATTGGAAGAAACTCATTGGACTTTGCACAGATGGCGCACCAGCAATGATAGGTGTACGATCGGGCTTAGCTAAAAAGCTTAAGGAGAAAATAGTACATATTGTGTTATTTATCGGCAAGCTTTGGCTTCCAAAATATTACCACAGAAATTACGCCAGACTTTGGACTCGGCTATAAGGCTTGTAAACTACATCAACAGCAGCCCTTTGAACAGTCGGTTATTTACTTTACTTTGCGAGGATCTCGATTCTGATCTCAAAGTTCTTCTGTTCCATACAGAAGTATACTGGCTGTCCAAAGGCATGATGTTGGCTCGCCTTTATGAATTGAAAGAAGAGGTAATTCTTTTTCTTGAGTTCAAAGAAAAACACGATTTCTTGACAAAGTTCAAAGATGACACATTTCAATGGAGGATGGAGGTTGGCTTATTTAAATGACATATTTGAATCCTTGAATGAGCTAAACTTGAAACTTCAGGGCAGAAACAACACTATAATAAGAAATTATGATGACATGACAAGAAATCTATTTGTTGCTGATGTGTCACAATTACCAGTAGTAGTTCAGGAAGAATTTCTAGAAATGAAGGCTGATTCGTCCATGAAAAATGACTTCCATCTTTTAACATTGGAGAAATTTTTGATCAAAAGAGTGAATGTTAATTCGACACTTGAATTTCTTGCTCTTACTAGTTTCTTTTTTTTTCAACTTATGTGAGACAGGCTTTTCGGCTCTAGTTTTAATTAAAACTAAACAGCGAAATCGTCTTGATGTCGATAGCGACCTGATGATAGCTCTGGCAAAAACAGAACCTAGAATAATCAACCCACTGGTACAGAACATGCAATCTCAAGTGTCTCATTAGTACCTAGTATTCAAGTTTTTCGATAAAAAACATTAGTTTATTTAAACTTTTAAAGATTCTTTATCAGAATTAAAATAAGTCTTTGTTCAGATATAATGTGCGTTTTTGTATTTATTGAAAAAGTAACGGGAGACATGAAAATATAATTTATAGTCCGGGGAGCCTCAACAAAAAAAGGTTGGAAACCCTGCTTTATACGATGTGAATATTTTTCCATTTTACCTCTGAACTTGAAACCTCATCACCTGACATTTTAATTTGATTTTCAATTACTAAAAACAGACGACCTTGGGTTTCGCCATTGCTTGTCCGATGATGACGGTAATTTACCAATTTGTAGCTCTTGTACATACAAAAACCAATACAGGGAATGCGGAGTAAAGGTACATAATTATAGACAAGCCAAATCTACGTCTATACGTATGATTAGTATGAAGCATAAAACCACATATACTATGACATATAATTCATTTTTTTAGGTTTATTTTTAGTTTTAGCTCTTTTTCGGTATAAAATCTGGGAATATCGGTAAGATCGGCAACAATGTTGTCGGACCTATCGATTTGTCGGTATTTTGATGATGTTTGATTAACCTGAACCATATATTTTTTGTTATACATGTTTGTAGCTGTTTGTAACTTTTTCCTCATAGAGCTAAGCTGTGCCTTTATGAACTGAAGACAGCGTTGCCTAGGAAGTGCACAGTCAACCTACGTGACGCCAGTTTATCTTTTTTTATCGAGATATGGAAATAAGTAATTTAATTTTAGTCTGCATAACAATTAAATAACAATAATTAGGAGACAAACATATTAACAGCTATGTAAATTTTCTTCGAACTATTGATGAAACTTTGTATTTCATTTGCGGTTAAATATAGATAGCATATTATCTTTATATCCTGTATTCGTTATCATAGATGTGTTTGTGGGAGATAATGGAACATAATTGTGAGAATCATACATAAACAACTAGGTATACCGGGTGTTACAAAGTCGATTGCCATCACTGTAGTCTCGAAAACCAGGACCCTCTTAAGCTATGCAGGGACATTGCAGCGTAAAAGGCTGAGCGCCAGAGCGAAATCCGAGGCCCTACTTTGGCGTTAGGGAAATTTGAAAAGCGCGCGCAGAGAGGGTGGAGAGTACCCAAACGTTTCGATTTGTGGGCATTTGGTACTCCCTAATTGTTTCGAAATAGACAGCGCATCTGACACAGTCCTAATGGAATAACTGAACTTTTTATGCATTTGGCGCCATATTTGTCACGAAAACGAACATTAACGTAGTAGATCCGTACTAAGGAGTCAGTCAAGTTTAATGAAGTGTGCTGTTTGAAGTCTAACAATGATTACTGAAATTATACCATTCTAAAACAAACCATTTTTGAATTACACTTGGAGCACAACTTTTTTCAATAAGGCACCAAGCTACATTATTTTCAAAAATGAATTTATTTTACGAAAATGAGTTATATTTGTTCGATTCTGTTGTCACCAAATCTTTGTTTCTCAAAATGTAAACCAATTGTAGCATTTCAATCGATGCAAGAAACGTGACTTCACGTTTTACATAATACATACTTTAAATTTCTCGATGTGACTTAGATAGGTACCTAACTGCTCCAAGCCTCTCAATTATCTACACCAAGGATGTATAATCTATGCACAGATTCGGTTCATATTTCTTATCGTTCCCAGAATTCCAGTGGTACCAAATTAGGAACATCCGGTATATGTACGGAATTTTGATAGAAAATTGTAGATTAGTTACGCGGCACACGTTTATCAAAACGTGTTTTGTGATTTACTATATATATTGTATTAACAAAAAAATAGGAAAATAATGGCCAAAATCCGAAAAAGTAAAGTGGATTCCAGCAGAAAAAGGATAGGTGACCCGAGCAATACGTATTTCTGCTTTTTGCTTCATTTGGCCCAAGATGAATGCAACATATGCAACCTCAAAAGTAGATACACATGCCCATACATATCTGGATGCGGAGAGGGAAAAAACTGACAAACGGAGTCCCCAACAAGAGCCAACCTACACATTGCAGTTCTTTCTCTCCTACATCTTCGTTTCCTCAGGTTACACCTGTATCCGGATATGTGGGCATGTGCATCTACTTTTGTGGTTGCATATGTGCATTCATTTCGGGCCTGATGAAGCCAACAAGCAGAAATACGTATTGCTCGGGTTACCTATCCTTTTTCCGCTCGAATCCACTTTCTCGTCTTGCGGGTTTTGCCCATTATTTTCCAATTTTTTTGTTATATACCTTTCTCCGCATAATCATTTTCTTTTTATACTGTATTATATCACTGAGTAGAGGATTTTCAATACTGTTAAGGGAAGTTCCATTTTGTAAATGCAATTTTTATGAATCCTTGAAGGAATGAATGAAGTATTTTTCTAGTCACATGCTGCAACCTATTCAGAGAAAAAGACACCACGGAAACTTGTAAACACGCCATGCATAAATATTGGAATTCCAGCTTACACGAAATGTGACTATCAGTCTTTTAACTAGTTTTAATGACCCTAATGGGAAATATATGTAGACTCATTTCTCCAGAAAGGTACAAAACACTGTTCACGTTCAGAAATCAGAAAATTTTAGGTTATTTATTACTACTAAAATTTAAGGCTCTTCGCGTATCAGTACGAGTATACCTTATACCTACGTGACTTAATGTGATTATTTTGATATCAAAATGAATACAAAGGTGTGGCAGTATAGAAGAATTTTGACGTACAAAGAATAACTTCGATTTTACTGACTTTGGTTACACTACTTTTGATATCCACGTATCTATTTAATTTCGATTTACCTGAAAGGTAAACAAAACCGGCCCTGATAAAAAAAAGTATGGAAACTATAGGCCGCTATGAGTACAAAGCATTTCCTGGCAAACAAAGGAACGTCGCTCTACCAAGAAAACTATTTTTATTTTTAGATGAACTCAAACATGCCCTTACAGTAAGTTTAAGGCTAAAAATGTAACGAAAGTAAAACTAACCTTATAAAATGTGGAAGACCGCTGAACCCAATTACAAACTAACGTAACGTTAACGTGGAACAAGACACTCGAGACAGAGTCTGCCAGTCTGCCTCTGCCTCTGCATGCCTACAGTCGAAATCGACCCGAACTGACGAACAGTGTTGCCAGGTCCACATCAATGCATCCCACCATCCCACGAAAATAGCTGTCAAACCACCAGAAAACCTTATGATTTATAAAAATTTCAAACCACCATGAAAACGCTAGAATTTTCACATCTAATAGATGGAATTAATTGTTTTACGTAATTTTTATGAAAATACGAATGATTATCATGGCACATTTGAACTAAGAAATTACCAAGGTGCGCTCAGAGACAGCATACCGAGTAATAAATATATCTGAAATTGATATGGAAATCACAGTTTCATTGGAAACCAGCCACTAAATGCATAAAAACTACCCTAATTTACTATTCAAACTACTAGATTTTGTGGGTAAACTACTAAGTTTGTCAACACAGCTGAGGAACCAATAGAAGCAGAGGGGTACGCCTTATCATTTAT